ATCTATTTTTGCTATATATATATATACATATAACAATACATTTTTCTCTAGTATTGACGCATTAGATATTGCTTTCACCCTAGATTTGTAAGTAAGGTTTGGACCCTCCATCGGATTTTTTAAACACATTTTGATAAATATACTAATGTTTCCACCATAATTAATCCACCCAAACATCAAGTAAGAACTGACTCCTTTATAATACAATATTACATAATATGCAAGCAAGTAATATTTGAAAATGCCCTTCACACATACGCTCTATATATATATATATAACTTCTATTTGTAGTTTTGCTTTAAAATATGTCTCCTCGCCTTTTAAGCAGAACTGGATATACATTCAATGTCACAAACCTATGTTGTTTTAAAAGTCTATTAATTTTGTTAATTCTAACCTAATATTCTAAATTAATGAAATTTCTTAAAACATTTTAACAGCCTTGACTATAGATAACGTTACATGTGAATATAAAAATGAAATTGTTTATATTCTTGTGTGTTTATGATTGAAAATAGTTTTTTCTTCATAACTGAAAATGAAACAGATCTATCTGTTGTATTAATACGGCCACACACAAATGCTAGAAGAGGAACTGAAAACTAATTGAAATTTTTCAACTTCAGTGACACCTTATACCACACATGGACTAAGGACAAGGTCAGAGACTCCTATATGGTCTGGTTATAGCTGTACCTAATTGTGAACTACTGCCCACCGGGTAGCCAACCATCAGTACCCGTCGTCCCAAGAGCTATATCCGACTCTTTGAATTACATATCAGAATTGACTGTCACCTCTTTAAACGCAACCGCCCACAACTGAACGAAGCGTTCTAGAAAATCTCAACTCGAACTCTAAGCCCTCCGATACACAACCCGGAACTTCAACCACTAGTCTACGCCTGACCCACGAGGAAAAAAAACTGAGTTAACTCGACCTGGAATAAAATATATGTTATCATAAAAAATTGGAGTTTGATTATTATATGCAACATTGACTTGATTTTGCATTGTACCATAATATTATTAATAACATCCTGAGACACAAGGTATGAATTTCAACATGTTTGTCAAATATTACTTGAAACCATATATTAATGCTCGTAAAAAACCCTGATTAAGCATTTATAAGAGATAGTTTTCAATAACATTAAACAATAAATTTATAAGTAGACGAACCAACAAAGCTTTATCAATTACTTTACAATGAATACAATGAAATGTTTTCAGTCGTTTTTAACGGCCTATTTTACTTCTCCTGAGAATGGTGTCGATTTGGAAGCCGCATAAAGAGCTAATTGTATACATACCAACTACATCCAAGTATCCTATCTGACTCTTCATGGGAACGGTGTTGATTTGACACATGTAGAAACCTCGATCTGACTCCTGTGCGTTTTTAATGTGAAGGATCCATTTCTTCTGGTCAGTATAGCTGAGGTTAACCCTGTAGTTTCTCGTGATGACATTATGATGAATTGTCAAAATAGTCTTGCTCTCAACCCTCAACCATGCAACCTATTGAAAGGCAATACAAAGAAACACTGGTGTGAGAGTTTCATACATAAAAAAAAAAGATTTACAAAAACTTACTTTTCTTTAATGTCTGTAAGGCTCAGTTTTGTGTGGTTATATTTTAATGAAGAATAGAGGTAAATATCTATAATCAAATTAACTGCTTTAAGTAGGTATATTTTATTTGGAAGTTTGCGAGACTGAATTTAAATCATAGCATCAAAACAAGCACAGAAAAAAGAAATGCTTTTCCGAGAACACCACAAAAGGCTTAGAGAGAGGAATGTAATATTAGAAGACACGAAATCATTGTGGTGTGTAACAGTTAAAAGAAAAGAAAAAACACACTTCTAGTACAAACTATGTCCTATTAGATTGTACGGGCACACGAATGTGTCGAACCTGATATCCCCGTACACGTATTTCAATAGAATATAATACGAATGTGTCGAAAATAATATCTATGTACACGTATTTCGATATAATATAATACGAATGTGTCGAAAATATTATCTATGTACACGTATTTCAATAGAATATAATACGAATGTGTCGAAAATAATATCTATGTACACGTATTTCGATAGAATGTAATACGAATGTGTCGAAACTAATATCTATATACACGTATTTCAATAGAATATAACACGAATGTGTCGAAAATAATATCTATGTACACGTATTTCGATAGAATATAATACGAATGTGTCGAAAATAATATCTATGTACACGTATTTCAATAGAATATAATACGAATGTGTCGAAAATAATATTTATGTACACGTATTTCAATAGAATATAATACGAAGGTGTCGAAACTAATATCTATGTACACGTATTTCGATAGAATATAATTTGTTCCTAAAGTGTGATTTTGTTTTTGTTTTAGAAGATTAACAATAGTTAGGGTAGCTCTTGATCGCTCAGAGAATACTGCCTCATTGTGAGTTGCAAAGTGAGAGAAGATTACACGATTCCGCCAGAAGCTTGCGTAATAGGCAAATGGTGCCGACAACCGAGAGTTATATACCTCTTATGTAATATGTAAAAGACCAGAGGGAGCGTTGCTAGGAGTCATAGTCCCATGAAGTGGCATCAGAGGGTGTATTTCTTGAGGAGGCATAGGATGATAAGCTCATCAGAGCAGATAATTCGCGAGTGAACCACCAAATGCTGATGTAGATAATCATGTCTCAACATGTCATGTACTTTATAGTAACAATCAAAGTCTTAAAAATAATTGTATTTTGTCTAACTTACCTTACATTCTTTTTACAATTATCAGTTCTGAAAGGTTTTTATTTTCTATCACAATTACAGTTTTGCTTTATCATTATGGTCAACCTTATGGTTATCTGTTTACATGTGTAATTGTCTTAAATACATTTTACAAGGGCGAATGTTATTTTTATAGGTGGACAGTGTTACTATAATTCCGTAGGTCAGCATACGAATTTCAACTTGCCTCGGCTTATGTTTATAGTTTTCATTTATATATTTAATCGTATTACATACATTTTAAAAAGCGGATGTTGTTACTATAGGAAGTTAGGATTACTAGATTTCTGTAGGATTGCATACAGGTTTGTTAATAAATTATTCAGTATGTGTGTGGGACTTGTCAGTTTTAAGCAATAAGGAGTGGTAATGTGAGGGTCACAAGATCTAATGTCCAGCATGATGGGCGACAGTCAAATTAGTTATGTATTTCTAGTGCATAATATGATTTCTAAATGAAGAAACATTCTATGATCATATTAGCTCGAATCACTTTGGTGAATATCCCTTATGTGTAGTTGACGGTGATATATTCTATTTGACTTATTGCATGGTAGAACAAATATATATACCACAGATATTATTACATTTGACTGTAGGTCAGTAAGTTATAAACTAAGATGTTTATAGTTTTCATAAATAGTATATCAACATATATATTTCTTGAAGTTTTGCTAATAAGCGTTTCAATATATGTTGCCCCCAGTGGCACAGTGGTATGTCTGCGGACTTACAACGCTAGAATCCGGGTTTTGATACCCGTGGTAGGCAGAGCACAGATAGCCCATTGTGTAGCTTTATGCTTAACTACAAACAAACAATATATGTTTTTACTTATTAAGTCTGTGACTTTACTTACAAATATTAATGATAGCATATTGGACTATGATAGAGCATGGGTGTTATATAAGAAGTATAAATGGAGATTTGTATTGGTTGTTCAAACATACTTGTTAGAAACAATGGTTTTCAAACAAGACCTAAGATGGAATGGAATTTATTATAAAAGACCCAGCTAGAAACATAATTATGAGATTTGATATTTAGTCTAAATTAAGTAGAATTAAACTAATTTTCGGTAGTGAATTATCAATGTAGGAGGAGCATAACTATATTTTCCGAATATTTGGAAACTAATCCTGTCTGAACTTTGACCAGTTGCTTTATGTCAGCAACAGTTTAATCTTACTGAATAATGAGCATAAACTGTTTTGGTTGTAAAGTATGATGAACGTAGTGAAATACAAGAATTGTACACTCACTTCTTTGCTTAGAAACTATATTAAAATCTTACATACTGAACTGAAATGAATAAGTAATATCGTAGAAATGTACAAAAGTAGTATGAAAGCTAATTTAAATGAGACAATCCAGTATATATATAAGCTAAGATATTTGTAGTTTTCATAAATATTATATTAGTGTATCTCATTCTTGAGGATTTGTTGATAAATGTTTCAGTAAATTGTCATCATGTTTTTAAATGAGGATTCTTCCAGGTGATGGATATTCATCTGAAGAAAATGACTATTTAAACAATTGATTTTTAAAGGATTTTATCAGGATCATCACATCCTGAGAAAGAGAAAGCTATGATTTCAAATATCACCTATACTGATGAAAAAGTTTTTCACTTTTAATATTTACAATGAACATCAGCATTAATCTACTGTCTGATCTTTCTTGCAAGTTTACTATGAATGACTTGCTATAAGTCTGAAAATTGACCTAAGATCACAATCCCTTATTTAATACTTGACGTTTTGTGAATAAGTGTTACAGTATGTGTGACAACAGTCTTATTTAGTGTTTGTGATATATAACATTCATTTTGTGCAAAAGACATAGATTATGGCACTGGCAATGGAAACTTGGTAAGAGAAAAATAATTTATTTTATGATTAGGGAGTGGCAATACTTCTAAAAACAGATTTTATTTAAACATTGCGAAAGACCATACACGCAATCAATACATCTCTTGATAATAATAATAAAAAACACATCTAGGATATTTTAAAATAACTAGGTTATTCGACCGAACTGTTTTTTCTTATATTCTCACTTTGAATGGAACATTCGGTATGCAGTGAAGTGTAAATTAATCTAGAGAGCTTAGCATGAAAGATACGCACAGCCTGTATCATTCAATGTAGAACTATTTATGTGCGATCCACGAAGATTCGCAACATAGGAAACCAATTTTCTTGAATGACGTCAGCAACGTATCAGTATACACAAACACTGTTATGGAACGTTCACATTCCAATCAGTCTTTTCTTCTTCTTCAAATCTTACCACCTCTTCTACTCTTGGTTTTTGACAGTCTTTGGATCGTCCTGCTACTTTAGACAAGATTAAAAAGCTGGTCAAAACTGAATAGTTTCTTGAAGATAGCCAAAAGAACGTGCTTCCCCTACTGGAATAAAATGTATCACAGGTTGAAATCTGTCGGTAATGAAACTGGCTGAATGAACAAGAGAACTTTGCAAGGAAAAGAAATGAAGGAAAGAGAAAGAGAGTGAAGAGGAAGGGAAGAATTAGAAAAAGAGGCATCATATCAGGGAACAGAATACGAACAATCTACTAAGAGAAAGGGCTTCAATGATCATTGAAGGTGCTTAGACTATCGCAAAGAAAAATTCTTCTTTAATCCAAAGCTCTTCCAAGTTTGTGTAACAGAATTATTGCTCTCTTTCGATCTCCACTCCGACACCTAGAACAGCTGAGAAGCAAAGTAAATAGTGTGTTTTCTAATTGAATATCTCTAACTTACCATTGTATTGATCCCAATCTAGTTTGAGCTTTCAGAACGTAGGTATAGCAAGCTGATCCGTGGATCGAAAAAAATTGAGTTGAAATACCAGGCTTTGCTTTTGTATGTCTTAGTAAGTCAAACATGATAGCTACAATATCGTATTTTACATATTTATCACGTTTGTGAATGTATTAACTTGAGACATCGTGAGATAAATAGCATGTGATGTTATCTTCCTTACAAGCCAAGAAAACTGAACATAAAAACAAAACATTATATATCATTAAAATGCTACCAAGGCTGTAATGTCTAAAATAGATAAAATATCATTTTTAATTGTTCAAATCTTGTATCTTAATTTAAAATCACGTTTTTTTTTCATCTTGGTATATCTTTAATATTATCACTCAAGAATGTTGAACAAACTTATAGTAATGTTAATACAAAAAAAAGACTTAATTTCTCGGGCTAGTTTCCCGTTTATCCTTTAAAGAGACATTAAAACTTTGGACTGAATAAAACCATTAAATCCTTCCGATTTCTAATATATCTAGGTCTAGAAATAACGAAATATTTTAAATCAAATGTTGAACATTTTTATTCTACTGGACTACTCTGATAAGAATTATATATGTATGTATAAAGGAGTTTTCACTGATAATTTTGTTTAAGATTGTGTTTCAAATACATAGAAAGTGGTTATCGTATCAAGCTTAATCCAACCACTTTTATGTTTTTATCATCTTTAATTTAAATGAACTTAAAAAAGGAAGTATTTTATATGCTTTCATATTATTAACATATTACTTCCTGAAATCCACGCATAATATATACTTATATATATGTTAAATACTACTACTACTACAGAAATTAGAAAAAAAATGTATTAATTTCAAAAAACTGTAAGCTGTGTGTGAACGTTCCAGGCTTAGTTTAGTCCTAACTAAAGTGCTGATTATTTCTATGAAAAAAAACTAAAGTTAATACAGCTTTTAAAATTACCTACAAATAAAACTCGTTTAATTTCAGATGAGCTGTCATTGTAAAACGGGTCTTAATGGTAAGATAGCTTTATGTCGTTCCTTTAGTATTTGGTAAGAAGTGAGGTGTTATATGATAATATGATTGATATTACTTTCAGTCCCACCTTCCTTTACTGATTTAATATAGTTTCATGTCTTAGTTTAGTATTTGGTAAGAAGTGAGGTGTTATATGATAATATGATTGATAATACTTTCAGTCCCACCTTCCTTTACTGATTTAAAAAGTTTCATGTCGTTAGTTTAGTATTTGGTAAGAAGTGAGGTGTTATATGATAATATGATTGATATTACTTTCAGTCCCACCTTCCTTTACTGATTTAATATAGTATTATGTCGTTAGTTTAGTATTTGGTAAGAAGTGAGGTGTTATATGATAATAATTTCAGTCCCACCTTCCTTTACTGATTTAATATAGTATTATGTCGTTAGTTTAGTATTTGGTAAGAAGTGAGGTGTTATATGATAATACTTTCAGTCCCACCTTCCTTTACTGATTTAATACGAGGTTCCAGTAAGAAGAGTGTATAATGAGATTTCTGATGTTCTACCACATGTACGTCGTTGCTGAAGAGATCTTACATTCAATATCAGAGCACATCAGGCCAGCTGAGTCACAGTAAACACAATTTTAATTGAAACAATATTTAAATCAGTCATTTATGAGACATCATATTTTCGATTTAGAATGCCTAGAGTGTATTCTTGTCTTGATTACATGATCCATCTAAATAGTGTTTCGACTAAGACCTAGTTAGTTGAGCTGTTTTTGTTCTAGCGAATTTCCTTGTTGCCAGCGGCGTAGATGGAATTCTATTATTCACTGTTCTTACTGAAATCTGTATTGGATCATAAAACAAAAACGTGATTAAAATCCTTATCAACTTTACTGTGATTTAATATCCTATTGATTATCAAACTAACTGATTTTACGTCCACAGTTTAGATATTTTACTTTATAAGTAAAACCTTGATAACTGATCATACGTCATCAGTCTAGACGTTCTACTTTACAAATAAGATCTTGATAACGGCTCATACGTCACCAGTCTAGACGTTCTACTTTGTCAGAGAGAGCGCTAGCACTCTCTGTATAGGGATGACACGGACGGCCCATATTAGCAACACAAAAGTTATTTGGACTTTTTCTCTACAGGTCATCAGAAACTGGATATCAAGAGCTACCTGGTGTAGTCGCTCTAGCTCCGGTGTATATGCCGCTTTTTAACTATTCAGAGCGTCCCAAAGTCGAAAACCAGCGAATAGCCAAAACCGAAATTTCTTATTCTTGTTCATCATCATCTTTCTTCAACAGGCCTAGCGCCTACCTAGCTCTAGCAATAACTATAATTTTATAATAATTTGATAAAGCAAAACAGTCTTCACGATCTTTGTTTACCTATTCTATTATTATTATATGCAAAATTTAAAATACAGAAAAATAATTCTAGTGTAAGCGATGTTAGTACCCCCTGAAGATCACTTTCTTACAGACATCTGGTGTTTCTTTAAAAAGCTTAAGCACAGGGAGAAACGGGAAGTACCAGCCAATAATACATGAGCATTAAATGACTGTAACGTGAAGAATGCTTAATGCTTTGTACACTATATAATCTATGTCTTTAAAGAACCAACCATCATATTATGTATAAAGTGAAGGAATAAAGAAAAAGCATCGATACACATACAGGACATCAGAAGCTAGATAAGAAGAGCTGTCTGGTATAGTCGCTCTATATCCGGTGTATATGCCGCTTTTCAGCTATCCAGAGTGTCTCAAAGTCGAAAACCGGCGAATAGCCAAAACCGAGAATTCTTATTTTCTGGAAGCTAGTAATGTAAGGATTTTATTCGCCCTGTAAAGTCTAGACGTCTTAGTTTCCTATGTAATCATTAGAGGGATCAAGTAAAATGTCCACTTTCACCTCTATCTTGTTTGGTTCCATTTTCTGAAGTTCAGTAGCCAGCTCTACATACCTTTTTTATTTAACGATATTTTTATCCCTAATACTTTTAAGTAGAACCATGATAACGTACTGTACGTTGCAAGTGTAGATGTTCTAGTTTATAAATAATAACTTGATAACGTATCATTCTTCACCAGATTAGGTGTTCTACGCCTGCGCTCTTTTCAACATGGGGAATCGAACCTCTGGTTTTAGTGTTGTAAGTCTATAACTTTAAGGCTCACTGATCGGAAAACATTTAAAATGCAATCGATGATATGAAAAGGAGTGATTCAGATATTAAACACTGGAAATCTCTAAAAAAAAGCAGTTTTTCATGACATACTGGAAAGCGAGTAATATTTAGCTGAATAAAACAAACTGTTGAACATGAATTTTAATAAAAATTGATATAATCTATTATGTACTTTCTGGAAAAAAAGGTTATTTATTTCAGTTCAAGCAAAGCACTTTAAAGAAAAAAATATACATTTACAGATGGCGTTCTAAAACATTTTATTGTGCGTGTAAATAAAAATCAGATTTAAACCGAATCTTAAATAATTTTAAACCTTTTGAGCTAAAAGGATATTTTTCAGGTACTTTTTCACTTTCATATAAAAAAACAGAATAAAGTTGTGTCAATCAAATTTATCATGAAAAAAGAATCATCTAAAGATGAAACGACAGTTTTATTTTTTCGCGCATCATCTCGAATGTTAGTTATTGAAGTCGATAATCAATCAATAGAAGGAACAAGATTAATCTGACAGTCAGTAGCTTCGTTAAATATCTCAAAATATAATACAGCGGTAGGTTTACGGACTTACAACTCAAAAATTCCGGGTTCTATTCCCTGTGGTAGACACGGTCCAAATGTGGCTTTGATCTAAAACAAAATAAACATACTCGTGTTTGTTCCCCGGTGGGGCAGCGGTAAGTTTACGGACTTACAACACTAAAATCCGGGGTTAGATTTCCCCTCTATTGACACAGCAGATAACCCAATGTGGCTTTGCTCCAAAAGAAGAAACTCAAAATATAAAGTGGGGCCAAGGCAACATAAGATATCCACTTTAATTCATATGTGGTTTTAAGTTAAAGTTGAAAGTAAAGCATATAATGATTATTAATACTTCCCTTGTAAAAAAAAAAAAAAACTCACATCCTAGTAACGAAATATGTAGAACGTCTGAAAACGAAGTGATTTCCTGCTAAAGTTTTCGTCGCATGAAAAACACGTTAATGAAACGAAAGCATCAAACAAATGACAGCAGAAAGTATAAATCGTCAAATAATTTCAAAAAATACTTATTAACAAGGCCACGAATAAACTAAAGCTGGTTAATGCTTATGAAGATGATAGAGAACACGAAAATAAGCATAAAAAAGAAAGGTGGCATCTGGTCGGCAAGTAAATGTGACGTATCAATAAATCCCTTCTTCCCATAGAAATGTAAGGCTACTCTTATTCTGAGGCTAAAGGGGAGTACATGAAAGACGTAATTAATAACGTTACCCGGTAAAAACCCAGGTTTTCCACAGTGCAGGGAATGGCGGCGTCATGTCCCACGGATACTGTCACATTCGGAATTGGATCCGTGAAATCAGGTTCTAGATCCCAATCTGAAAAGGAAAATAAAAGCAATAAGATTCCATGAAGCAAAAGAGTTTTTTTGGTGTTGTTGTTGTTGTTGGTGGTAGTGGTTTTTGTTTAGAAGGTGGGATGATAATACTGTAATCGTAATGAGCCTTCAAAGAGATAATATAATTGAGAATAGCAAGTTACATAATATTAATGAATACATAGCAGGATAGATAATATTAATATTAGTATTTGTTAAGCATTAACCTCAAAGGTTGATAAAACCGACAAATTTCGTGACAAACAAAATATTTGAAAGGATGAGAAAATATGTAAATCATTGATTAATTTCGAGACAGTAGGTACGTCTTGAAAGTGTGTTTGTATGTGGTTAAGCACAAGACCACATAATGGAAAATTTGGGGTGTTCCTGTCGCAGGAATCATACCTGGAAATTTAGCGTCATAAGCCCTCAAGTTTACCGCTGAGCCACAGGGATGCAAGGTTTAAGTGAAAAATATAGTTCATATAAATGTCTCTTATATCAATTTTATTTTTATACCAAACAAAATTCTTTTATTAGAGGTAAGATCACTCCCTCTATGTAGTTAGTTTGTTCTGGTTGAGCCTCAGGAAGTTTGTGGCTCCCAGCCCGTTGCGGAAATCCCCACTTCACACTTTGGGGCCAAATCCCACTATTAGATTAGTGTAGTACAAGAGTTGGTGATGGCTGCCTTCCGTCAAGTCCATCGCTTCAAAATTAGTGCCGGTTAGCGCAAATAGTCCTCGAGTAGATTTGCGCGAAAATTCAACAAACAAACAAACAATCTAATGTGTATGTAAATCGCACTATTCGGTTGGACAAGAGTTGGAAGTGAGCGCTATTGACTAGCTGCCTTCCCTCCAGTTTTTCAGTTCAAAATTAGGGACGTCTACGCACAAAAGCCCCTTTGTTCAGCTCTGTGCGAAATTTTGAAACAAATAAATACTCATTACATCACGACACAATTACAGATACATATTTATAGCTATGCATCTTCTTCACTTCTTGTGGTCGACGATTCTTATTCAACCTTAAAAATACCTCTACATGTGTCGCCCCCCCCCCAAATGCCCCGCTGTACTTCCTCTGGGG